GTATAATAATATATTAACTAAAAAAAGTATTTAAATATTTTAAGAAATTTAATACCTTATTTATTAAAGAATCAATGGCTTCTTGTGAATTATGTAAACATTTTAATGCAACTTTTTTATTTGAATCCCTTGTATAATTTTTATCCCATACATTAATCCTATATAATGGACCATCCTTCCATATTGCTGAATATACTGTTATAAGACCATTTTTGTCTGTCTCCTTAATTTCATTAAACTGATTGTATGGTATCCATTCAAGCACTATATCATCATAATAAATAACTTCTAATTGCTTTTCTTGAATGAAATCATCAATTTTTTCATTTCCACTTGTCCACATAAGAATAAAAATATAATCTCCTGTATCTGGATTTTGAGATATTCCATACAATACTTGAAATGCTTTATGATTTGCTGGAAATTTTTTAGCCTAAATACAAACAAAAGAGATTGTAAATATATTAATTAAAAAGTATTTAATATTTGAAGAAATTTTATACCTTATTTATTAAAGAATCAATGGATTCTTGTGAATTATGTAAATATTTTAATGCAACTTTTTTATTTGAATCTCTTGCATAATTGCTCTGTAACCTCTGTTCATCCTTTTTGTATAATGGACCATCCTTCCATATTGCTGAATATACTGTTATAAGATCATTCTTGCCTGTCTCTTTAATTTCATTAAACTGGTTGTATGATATCCATTCAAACACTATGTCATCACTGTTATTAATTTTTAATTGCCTTTCTTGGATGAAATCATCAAGTTTTTCATTTCCACTAGTCCATTCAGTAAAATTAATTTCTAAATATTCCAGAATATTATTTTCTGTCAAAGGTATATTTTGGGAAGACATTGTTTTCAAAAGCTCAGAATTTTTTTCAAATAAAAATCTTATTTATAATAAATTATGTAACGTACAAGTGATAGGTAACACAAAAATTTGCATAATTAATATAATTACTTATGTAAGCATTACGTAATTTCGATGTCGATCATTCCACAAGAATTACTCGAAACAAAAATTTTCTGGTTAAATTTTTTGTAGTTCTTCATGCAAATTTAATAATAATATACATCGTGCATAATATGTGTTTGTAATTAACTTTTGAAAAATCTCACTTAAATCACATTGAAATCCCTATAAAAAATTTTTATCCGAATATTTCCATTATTTCTCCGTGTCTTCCGTAAAAATTCCGTGAAAATGATACGTTCACGGATATCTGTGTTAGCAAGATGAAAATTTCCATGATAAATTCCATGAAAATGATACATTCACGGAAAAAGCATGGAAAGATAAAACACGGATCAGATTTTTTACAGGGAATATTGGATAACAAAGTCACGACATTAGAATTATAATAAAATCACCCTAACTCTAAATCTCTGGCCTCTTTTACTTGAGTCAATATACATTTATGTGAAATATTCAATTTATATTGATTTTTTTTATCAATAATTAAATATTTATATTTAACTGTTGAAAATTAAATAAAGTAGGTATTATTTCATAGTTGTTAATATACAGCTAATATATAAAGTAATAAAACTTGCTTATTTTTATTAATTTATAATAATTTTTTACTTAAATTTTATAGATCTTGGGCGATATCTCTATATCATCACGAATTTGCCGATCATTTCATTGACGTTGTCACTTGTCACATAAGAAAAGTTGTCTATTTTTTCTACAAGCTAGCATTATTCCAAAAACGTGATATATATTTTTTTGCAAAAATCGAAATATTATTCCGATATAAATGGTGATTTAGCATCATTTATAAATTTCATATCATTAATTTCTCAGCAAAAATTTAGAAATTTAATGGAATCCACAATTTGTATATTAATTTGTGGCATTAATTTATTAATTTTATGGTATAACTTATTAATTTCATATTAATTCATAAAATTCTCCGATAATAAATAACTTGTACTATGGAACGGATTACTGTATTATTATTACTATAGATAGGGAATATTTATGCAAAGTTTCAAGTTTCGCTCACACGTATTCACTATCATCATCATATATACAGTATATAATATATTTACTTTCATTGATGTAATTTTAATATAATTTGTTATAATAATAATAATATGTTTAAATGGGTTTTTATAATGATTTTCATAACATTTTTACTAATATTTTACTGTTATTTAAAAACATTCATCATTTTAAATAAATTGCTATACGTGATCTAAAAATGATCGGCAAGATGATATTAAGTATGTCCGCACCATTAAATTAATTAAATTTTAACTTAAAACAATACTTTTATCAATTTGGTTTTTTATTTACCATGTACATACTAATTTTTATAAAAATGAGCGTGAATTTTGAAATTTAATATAAAAATGGAAAATGATTGGTCTAATGTCTTATGATCACTGATAACATCGATTTAAATGGCAAAAAAAAAAAATAAAATAAAATAAAAAATTTAATTATTTTAGCATTTCTATTGGTTAAAGTGTAAAAAAAAAAAAAAATTTTTTTGTCAATTTCTTATCAATACAACTGTTAGTGTAAGAGAATTTAAGTGTTTTCCAGCCGTTCTCCTTTTTTAGTAATATTAGTAATAAAAAGGGTCTTGTATAATCTTTTTACGTTATGAAAGCAGTTATTTTTATTATACTATTTTATTATAATATTGATTAAAATATTTTGAATATTTTGAATTTATAATTATATGGTATCATTTCTCGGAACAAAAATGTAATAAATACGATAACTAAAGAAATCTACATATTCGTCAAAATCGGACTTTAAACGTACGATAATTTCATTCTATTGGTTCATTTTTTACGGATTAAAGTTAGAAAAATTTTATTTGATTTTATCAATTTAAGTTAGCCACATATGAATTTTTGAATTTTTTGTGATACAATATTCCTTAATTAGTTTTTGTACGTTGTTGGGCGTTTTGTTTGTTGTAACCATGCAAGTAAAAATAACTTTGGTTTCACAATTAGTTACGTTTCACAATTTGGTTTAGTCGCACAAAGCTTTAATGAAAGCATTGCGAGTTTAATTATTTATATAAACAAGTTAATTTTTTAAATAGCTCCATATGAGGAAACATCTTGATAATAAAAATAGTAATAATAATGAATATTTATATTGTTATTGTTATAAATAATAAATGATATATAACTATAACTATACAAATAATATTAAGAAATTCAAACCTACAAAATTTAAATCCTGACCATTCCAAAATGGACCTTCAATTTTCACTATTGATTTGCTCATTATTAAAATCATCAAGAAAAATAAATTGAATTTTTAATAATATTGTTACAATTTTATTTTGATTACTTTAGCTTATATCAATAGTATTTGGATTTATTTTGCATAATTAGAAACGATTTTATCATTTTTTTTTTTTTATAATAATTTATTTTTTAATTATACGAATCATTTAAAAAAACAGAAAAATCCATTTACGATGAAAAAAAGATTTTAAACAATTATTATTTCAATGAAAAACTAAAAAATAAAAAAAATTTTTTAATAATTAATAATATTAAATGCATTAATTTTTGTAAAAGAAATTTGTTTACCTTAATAAAAAATTCGTTTTTAATTTATTTTTTTTTGAAAAATTAAATTGTGATCGTTATAAGACGTATGATCAAAATCATATTACTACTTTGGATTACTAATTTTTTAAAAGAAATAATATAATAAAGAATAATTTTAAATTCGGTAGTTAAAATTTATATGAACAAAAATTTGATTTCTGACGTAAAAAGGTCTCAGACAATTATATGATAAAAAAAAAATTCTTAGATTATTTTTTCTTTATTAAAAAATACATTAATTTCACAAAAAAAATTAATAAATAAAAAAAATTCTATTATTTTATTTTTTTTTTTAGTACAATAAAAATGAGTTCTAAGATTTTTTTCAATATAAAAAAATTATTATTTTGTTTTTAATACAAGAAATTTTTAAAATAAATAATAGAGAATATGATACAAATATGTATTGCTTTTTAATTTTTACTCAAGTTATCTTTATCATAAAAAAATAAATAAATACTAAAATAAATAAAAATAAAAAAAAAAATCATGTTGCTCAATGACAGGCTTACAATTCTATTGATCTCCGTGATACTTTGAGTAAATGACATCACCATTTGAAGAGAACGCATCCCTTTTTTGTGTGCCAGGTTCGTGGCGCAGAAAATTTTTAAAAAACATCATTAAGGATTTTTTCTTCGACATAAAGTTTTTAAACTTATATTTTAGATGTAATTTCACCTGCTCTGCAAGTTTAATTAGGATTCGGAGGAAGGTTATGAATGCCGATTTTGACTTTACATATAATTGATTGATTCTACCGTCTTTGTCGATCGTTTCCAAAATGGATTTCGTGAAAGAAAAATTTTTGTTAAATAAGTCAATAATGATATTTAAAATCGCGTTTGTCGCTCTAAGTAAACTTGAAGAGCAGCCAAAATTACAACTATCTAGTAATTTTTGAAGTTATATGTCATTAAAAAATTATGATTTTCGTTGCGCCACAATCTGCTGGCTGCGCCACGAACCTGGCACACAAAAAAGGGATGCGAAGAGAACGGCCTAAATCGGATAATGAATTTATGGATTTATAAAATTTATAGTTAACTGCATAACTAAATTATTTTTTTTTTTTAATTATTTTATTCCTTTTAATGAAATTCTCAAGAATCGGAAATTTTCAAAGAAAGTAAATTTTCGTGTAATCTTTTCCAAATTTTTATAACATAACGCTGTATTTATTTTTTAAACATTTTGACCAAACATTTTGAACATTTAACGTTAAGCAAATTTTCATAATTCCACGTGAAATACATTATAGTACATGTACATATATTGTGAAGTATGAAATTGTGATTAATTCATTAATTTATCTTTTTAACAATATTCAGACTTGAAAAATTAAAAAAAAAATTGTGTGATTTCATATGAATGTAAACTTTAAATCATATTTAATTATGTACGTCACAAATTCATATCTGTAAGCTGCTAATAAGATCGTGATGACAATAGCTAATTTATTTTATTTTTAAAGATATATGAATGATTTAATTTTCATCAAAATTCTAAATTAAAGAATATCATTTTTTGTCTATAAAAGACCGATTTGAACATAATAAACTAAAATACGCTCAATGACATAAAAATCAGTTTAAAGTTATATTTTGTAGTTTAGTGTATGATCATTTAACAATCTATTATCTATATCTTTGCGTCATTTATTAATTGTGATCGTATTTACAACTAATTATATTATGAGGCTGGATCGTAAGGTTATTCTTAAAAGTGAGGCATTAAAAATTAGCGAATAATATCACTAATTATCAACATGTTAGCTTGGATTGATCGTAAGGCTGAAAGACTAACTCTTAAACGTCTAGGGGCGGGCAGGCATATTTTATGCTTTATACACCCGCTATCCATTTAAGCTTTATTTTGATTTTTAAAACGCGTGTGCGTGTTTTCGAGTATATGATCGTAAAAATAATGTTATATTAATACAGATAACAAGATAAAAAATAAATACAAATCGGGTCATTTACGCCCGTTACAGATAATAGAAGTAAGAAGTAAAATAAATACAAAGGTTCGGGGGACTTTGCCCGTGATACATGAAGAATTTTACTATGCTACTATACATGCTTATTTTTTCTTGATTATCTCTTCAGACCCTTCTACACGGCGGGTTCCTCACTAGCTTTTACCCTATCCTTTAACAAGCCTACTATAACCCTTAAAATCCTCTTCACGTTCTTGCACAAGTCAGTTGGATCTTTGATGGCGTCTTCTGTTAGTGAGATTCGATATTCAGCCTTGATTGTATAGTAGATGGCCTCGATGCTATGCGGGATTAAATACCAATCGGTTGCTGTTTGCATAAAAAATCCTCAATCAGAGATTTTGGGATATCAGTTAGCAATGAAAAAAATATATTTATGTTTTTTTATTTCTCGCAGAAGCTAATGCTTCAAAGGAGGGGAAAATCATGCCGGAGCAAATCTTACCTGTCATGACGATACCATAAACATACCCATACTCTGAGTCGAAGTTTTCATCTACCTTCCGTTTCCTCTTGAGCATATTTAAGTTCATCTGCAGTTTATAAAATGATATGCTTAACGTAATTTAAAAAAAAAAATTGGAAATCGGTGAGTCGGATTTTTTTTGATAAGATATTCTATTAGTTAGTATATGATGTTGCTTTGTAAATGATGTATAGGCATGCCACTACTGCTATACTTTTGATGGAAAACTTTTAAGTTATCCGGACTTGATTCGGAATACAATTTTTGAGATTCCAGGTTTTTTGATTTCATCGCAAAGTATATGATAGTCTTTATTTCTTTAACTCAATCCATCATTCGTCATGCAAACACCCATACTTCTTTCTGCATATATAGAGATTACGGAACCAAATATATTCACTTGATGTTCACCTTCCTTATCTATGCCGAACTTTAGATTTAAACATGTTGAGATATATATTAAAATAACTTAGTTCTAAGTAACGCACTTTCTTGAATTGATAATAATAAATTAATAACTTTTTGGCGTTTATACTTCCCTTTTGATAGTTACTTTCAGGAAGTAAGGAGAAATTTTGGATGTTTTTGAAGTTTGAGGTATAGGCGGAGTACTTACCTGAGATGTAGATGGTACGCAGCCCGTATGCTCACCTAAGCTGAGGAGCAGATGGTGCATTTTCTTCAAATTAGATTTTTGAGATTCTGTATTGAAATAAAAATACTTAACCAAAACTCACTGAATAAAGAAGATAATTTCAAATAAAAATTATGTAATCAATTATATGTAGCGACTAGCGACATTACAAGTGTTTGTTACATTATTAAATTTAGTTTAATTTAGTTTACTAGCAGCGAAAACTAATCTAAGCAGTGAAAACCAAATTCTTAGATCAGCGAGCAATCAATGAAATGAAAACTTTCGACATTTCCAACCCAACATTAATGAATTTAGTTGTGATTAAAGGCGACTGGACATAAATGCCCAGAGTCACTGCAACTAATAATCCTACCATTATTGGAGCTATAATAATAAAAGCATAAATTTTATTATAAATAAACCCATTAATTTCCACCTTTATCCCCATAACAATAATCTTGACCATATAATAAATACAACTTATAATAATGGAAAAGGCTTTTGTAGAATCATCAGTATTGAAATAGCGTACATTCACAACAGTAAGAGAAATAGTAATTGCTGCGTATATTACCACCGTAATTAATTCCCACCAGACTTCCTATATGGTTTGGTAGGAAATAAAAACCGACGAAAAAACTTGTCAGTGTAAGAGTGAAGTCTAAGTCCTAATAAAACAGAAATAAACATACTGATTTATTTCGTTCATCTAAGATTATCTCCAATATATCAATTTTTGATTGAGATGCTTCATATCTCATTCTCTGTCTAGGAGTCAAACTGTCGAGGACTTTCTGAAGGTCCGGAGAGAGTTGTACTGAAATGACAATAATGGTAGTCATTAATAAAATTGAAAATTACTACATACACTAAAAATCTTTAAGTACGTTACCATTATTAGGTGAGTTACCGTTATTAAGTATGTTACCGTTATTAGGTATGTTGCCGTCAACCATTTTGTTTATTGAGAGAGAAATATTTATAAAATATTTTTTTTATTCACCCCTTATAAACAACTGATCGGTTAGTCTATTATATAGTTGATTATGTTATAATGATGTAATGGTTTGCAATACTAATATGACTTTTAGCACGTGATTATGCTTGTCCCACAACTTTAGAACTTTATGTCACATGTTAATGGTAAATCTGGTAAAATCTTACCACAATACCACATTACCCTAGAGAGTGTGATGTCCTCGATCTTCCCCAGTAACACCATCAAAAAAAGCTCGGGCATGTGATTTTTGGGCATGTGATTTTGTTACATACGGCGCAGTTAGTGGCATTTAAATATTTATCGCGTATTATTTAAGCTATTATTTAAGCTTTTCCTTTCTTTTCGCGTCTACATTACCAATACCAAAGAATACAAATTTTTATTTTAAAAAAAAGAGTTGGCTTATTTTATTTACAATAGCTACTTGCAGAAATATATGAAACCTGTAGAATAAACCTAATATCTTGGAAATCACCAAGTAAGCAATAATACCAGTTCAACAAACTAATTTGCAACTGTTATTTGACAGCCTAATTAATGCTACCTTCTCTTCTAGAAAAGCAAAACTAGTCTGCATCAAAAATTAGTAAGGCAAAATAAGTGAACCATGTCATTAACATGGAAGGCATATTGATAGCACTCATTATTTAAAATAATTTATTTTAAATTAATGTATTTTAATAAATTAAAATTGAATAAATTTTATTGTCAAATTAATATTAAATAAAATAATTACAATAATTTATTAATTTAAAAGAATTTGTTTTACTCTTATGAATAAACATCTATAAAATTTCATTATATTCTCAAGCAATCATCTTTGGAGTGGAGTATCTTAGGGTAAGGAAAGTTACTTTAGGCTGAAATACTTATCTTTGAAGATAACATTGACGTTGGAGTATCTTAGGGTTAGGGTAAGGAAAGTTGTTTTAGGCGGAAATACATATTTTTGAAGATAACGTAAATGTTGGAATTTCTTAGGGTTAGGGTAAGGAAGGCGGAAATACTTATCCTTGAAAATAACGTAGACATTGGAGTATCTTAGGGTTAGGTAAGGAAGGTTAGTTTAGGCTGAAAATTTTACTTTTGGAGTTAGTGTTGACTTTAGGAAGTTAATTTAGCAATAACTGCGTATTGCAATTTCAGCCACACTTAGCCGCAGTCAAATCACATGAATCACGTGCCCGAGCTTTTTTTGATGGTTACGCTGGGGGAGTTGATGTCCTCGTTACCGCTCACGTGACTGGCGCGTTTGCGTTGTTATATTTATCTCAGCAACTTAGATTTTTTCGAGTAGTCTGATCTCTATTTGGGGACACGCACAGCAAAACAAGGGGATAGGATCTAAAAATTTTTTTTTGAGATTTCATTACAACTGTAATTTTTGGATAAATTGGAGCATAATTATCATATAAACTTAAGAAATTTTTTTTTGAGGCTATCCCCTTGTTTTGCTGTGCTTATCCCCATTTGTCATTTACCTCGGATGTCACCTGTACTACCATTAAACATATAGCCGAGGGTAGTGTGGTAAGAGTCCCACATTTTAATTGTTCAAAAATCATGTGGATGAAAATAATGATGTCCTTGAGTTTTTTGACATCTTTATACCAGCTAGTGCTATGAAGCCGATGCTGAGCACTTTGCACCTCCAATGCAATTCGATATTTTTGGAAGAAAGCATCAAGCTCTAATCCATTCAAAAAGGAGGGCGATATTTGATCATAGGTTCCTCATTAAGAATTTCCTTAGCTATCTGGGTGCATCTGGTCTGGAATTTACGATTTTTCTTAGATTCTGATTCTTTTTAAGCTCATCGATATCATGCCTTAATTTTTCTACTTCGTTTTGAAGCTTAAAAACCACTCCATCCCGTCTAGAATTTTCAGCAAGATTACACTCTGCTCTCCACTCCAACTTCTCAATTCTGTCCCTAAGTTCGGTGCCTGTGTGATTTGCAAATTTAAATTACAGTGTTAGTAAAAGAAAGTGTGATTTAAAGTGTGATTTTGAGGGAAAACCTATAATTATAGAGTTTATTTTATAATAAGGAATAAGAAATATTAAATATATTATTTTTTAGTTCACAAAAAAAAAAACCTGAACGTAAACCGTTAAAAAATATTTTCATATGAAAGGATTAACGGTAATACGATGGATTGCAAACCATGTTAAGCCAAACTAGTTCTATTTGACAAAATAACAAATATCTAAACCATTAGTTTAATTTATGATAACTTTTTTTCGATTTTTTTAAAAATTTTTTCTCTGTTTATATAACATATTAAATGCTTCACAGTATACTGTTAAATATTCAAATATTCAATTTTTTTCAGATTGACGTATTATTGATAATGAATAATGTGACGTACCAAGAGTATTTTGCCACATTTCTATATTGTACCACGTTAATAAATTTATAAATTATTTGAAAAAATTATTTGAAACAATTTTTGATGACATTAATATGAAATTCTTATGTATTGTTACCTCCTTTAATAATTACACAGATACAATATCATATTTATATGTAATAATTTTAAGATGGATATTTTTTCTTTGTAACTTTATTTTAATGGAAGCAACAGTGCAACTCGATCTTCATTTCGAAAAAAATTCATTTTGGATAAATTAATATTTAATTTCAAAAATAAATTCAAAACGTGTAAAAATTACATATTTTATTGCAAAAATTTAATGTACAAAATTTGTTTATAACAATTAAATCTAATTTAACGTTACAAGGAACTTCATTTTTTTAATTCGTCAAACCAGAATCGCGTTCATTCATCGAGTCCCATGTCCAGTACGTTTACCCGCTGCACAAGAAAAAATGATGTTAATACATTATTAACATGTAAAGACATTAATTTTTATTGAAATAATTACCTTCTCGTTTTATAGGTAAAGCCACTACATTATTTATAAAAAAGATTTTAATATTTGAAAATTTGATAATTAATGTTTTGATAAGTAAAAAAACTGTATATTACCCGCTGAAACAATAGTAAAGGCAAAGATTACTAATAAAAAATATTTTAAATGCATGGTTCCAAAATTTTTTTTTTTTTGATTTTTATTTTTATGTGATAAATATTTTTTGGTTGAATTTGTTCAAAAATATTTTTTTTCTCTTTTCTCAAGCCATTTTTATTAGAAATTTTTTCAAAAAAAAAAATAATAATAATTTTGATATCACGTACTACACGTAACTTCAAATTACTTTTTTTATTTATAATTGCATCATTTGAAAGTCATATAATTACTAATTAAAGTTAGAGGCTTAGAGTTGATTGTGTCTGTTAACCGGTTAAAGATCTGTTTAATCTGAAGGTCGATCAACTTCACTCCCCAGAGTCCCAGCAGCCATCTCCTTCACGTGACACGTTCTGCATAATCGCACTTTTTCACTTCGTAATAAACCAATGTAAATGAAATGGGATAAAAGATGTTAGAGTTTAGTATTTTGGCCAGAATGAAGCGCTTAAAATTCTCACTTAAAAAAAAAAAAAAATTTTTTAATTTGCTATGATTAAATAGTCTGTCAGCCAGAATTAAGTTTAACTGGTTAATAACCATTAAGATTTTTGAGGATGATTTAATTAAGTTGAAAGCGAAGTAAGTCGTACAAGAGTATGTTTGCCACGTTTTTCCACACTGCATTGCCCAATACCGGAATATGCATTGTCATTCAACTAATAACTTAAAAATATGAGATTTTTTTTTAAAAAAGTAGCAATATGATGATAGATATTGAACACTAACAATTATTCGAACTGAAATCATCTGCAAAATTTATAAATGTAAAAGGCGTCATTTTTTGTAAGTAGGAAAAAATCAATAGAAATTATTGGTGTAAACAAAGTTCTGGTAAGAGATTGTTTTTATTAAAATAATATTGTTTATTAGTCATACATTATGTAATAATTACTACATTATAAAGTTCGAATTGTTAAATCTGAAACGGGACATTGGGCCACTTTAACAGGCTAGCGGCTTAGCGTATAAATATAGTTTTTCGTTACACTTCGGAGTTCGGACTAATAATGCATAATCTTATATTATATGCACTTTAGTAATGAAAAAAACGAATATTTAAAATTAACGTTAAAAATTAATTAATTTATAATTATAATTAAAAAAAAAAACAAAGTATTAAAGCATCATTTTTTTTTAATGAATATGCTTTATTTCAAATATGACAATACAGTACATTTTGATTTCTGTGCCATGTTCATTTGCATCTAGTACAGCGCCATGATCTGACTTCATTATATATCAATAAGTAAACAGTCGTTCTTGACAAAAACATATATACCACGATACTATGTTTACATGATACTAATTATATATCGTATGAAATCTAATGTGCCGCATATTGACCAAGCAAATTGAGATTCCATTTGTGAAACGAAAATCCGTTCTAAACCTTTTACTAATATAATAGCGAAAAGAAAAGAAAACGCTGACGTATAAAATTAGTTAAGGGATATTACCATAAAACAATTTAACTCATCCATACATGGAATACATAGAAGAATTAATGATTTTTGCAATTACAAGTTTATAATATTCCATGTGTAATATAAAAAATTTTTTGAACATTAATAAGACAATATTATTATTGGACAGAAAGGTAGCCATTTCTGTCATAGGACTGGATGATTGGATGAAAATAGACCATTTATTGGCCATTTTTACCATCAATGAAGGGCTGTGATTGATATGATAGCTCCACATGCAATAAAAAGTGTTGTCTTTCAGACGCTTTTGATCATTCTATATTTTTTTGTATTATAAATAAACATTATATGAACTTTTCTATAAATTTTCGTTATTCCCTTTCTTTCTTTTTTTTATTAATAAGTAATTTAATATACAGTAGTTATATTGAAATTACTATCATATGGCACATATGCTGATGCACGTCAGATGTCAATCGACACTTAACGCTCATAGTTAATAATTCATTGAGGGAGATGCTTGAGAACGGCCTAATTTAATCTTCTATCATTAGTCTGTTGTTTTTCAATTTTTTTTAAAAATTATTTCTCTTGCTTCAATTTATAATATATATTAAATACGTATGACATATTAATGATTTAAACTAAAGTGGCGTACCAAGAGTATTTTTCCACGTTTTTATATTGTGCCACGTTAAATTTATAAATTATTTGAAAATAGGTGATTTTAAAATACTATTATTTTATTATTTGAAACGATTTTTGATGACAAATTCTTATATAGTGTACCTCCTTTAAATAATTACATAATAATTAACACAGAAAAAGAATTTTTTTCTAGATACAATATATTTATATGTAATTGTTATAAGATGATTAATTTACTTTATTTTAATGGGACAATAGTACAAACTTGATTCATTTTGAAAAATTCATCTTTGGATGGATTAATAGTAAATAAATTCAAATGGATTAAATTACATATTTTCTTACAAAAAATTTAATATACAAACTTTATTTATATCAGTCAAATGTAATTTAACGTTACAAGGAACTCGTTTCTTTAATGCAACAAACCAGAGTCACGTTTATGTTCTGAATGACGTTTAAATGCTACATAAGAAAAAATGATTAATGATGTTATACTTTATTCACATGTAAAGACGTTAATTTTTATTGAAATAATTACGTTCTCGTTTTACAGGTAAAGCTATTACATTATTAATAAAAAAGATTTTAATATTTGATTAATTTGATAATTAATATTAACGCCAATAAATAAAAAAGTAAAATTAAGTAAAAAACTGTATATTACCTGCTGAAACAATAATAAAGGCGAAGATTAATAACAAATATTTTAAATGCATGGTTCCAAAAAAATTTTTTTGATTTTGATTTTAATGTGATAAATATTTTTTTGATTCGTTGTTCGTGAATTTGTTTAAAAAATTTTTTTTTCTCTTCATCGAACCATTTATATAAGAAAGTTTTTCTTTAAAAAAAAATAATTTTGATAACACGTACTTCAAATTACTTTTTTTATTTAAAATTGTATCATTTGAAGCCATATTATTACTAATTAAGGTTAGAGCTAGTGCTACGATCCGTAATCCGGTCAATTCGGATTGATCCGTTCATCCGAATTGAAATCGGCCGATTATTTTTGACGGATTGATCCGATTTTTAATTCTGACCAGCATTATAGTTAGCTTGGGCCAGTACTAAAAGTTTAGGCAGAGCTAACTCTCGTTATTGAAACTTCAATTCCGCCCAAAATTACAATTTCGGCCAGAATTAAGATTAGTTTGACGATCCGGATTGAATCCGGATGTGCTAATGAGCATCCGAATTCAATCCGGATGGTCTTTTAGAACTCGGATCGTACCTCTAGTTAGAGCTGGTTTACTGGTTAAAGATTTGTTTAACTAGTTAAAGTTTAGTATTTCGAGTATTTCGTAAAGAATTTTAATTTGCTATGATCAAATAGTCTGACCAGCTAAAATTAAGTTTAACTGGTTAAATGACCGGTTATTAGCCCGGTAAGCCATTAAGATATTGGGGCTGAAGTAAAAATGTACAAGAGTATGGTTGCCACGGTTTTCTACACAGCCCAAAATTGGGATAATCTGTGCCACTCTCAATTAAACATCTGAACGCTAATATTTATTTGAACCGCAGTATCTATAAACGAAGGTAATTATTGATATAAGAATACAAGATATGAAAAAATTATATTAGCAATGAATATTTTTGTTTTAGTTTTTAGACGTTAATTTTAATTTCGCCATAGCCTCACTATTAAATATAAGAACTTTGGGATATCTAAACAATAAATTATTTTGTGACTCCTATTTTACCTGTTTATAAAAGATTATTCCTCAGTTAGTAAAATATTTTTAATTATACTTGTTAATACTAGTATTTACAGTTTTAACATAAAGAGAAAGTAAATCTCTCACCATAAACACTATAAACCTTGAAATTAAATATCCGAAAATTTTAATATTTTCATGAAGAGAATTAAAAATTAATCTCATAATAAAAGAGTATTAATGTTGATATATCTGATATCAATAAAAAAATTTACTTGTCTTGAAATATTTCGCTAATTTTTGTATATTATATTATTTTAAAATTGCGACTACGAATAAACTCTCAATTATGGTTTCTTGTACTAAACAGTTTAAGTTGACACTGGTTTGGCATGCAGACCATTTTCGATCTCACCACCATATTTGCCATGTTTTACATTCGATGATAAGCAGAAATTAAATATAAGGTAAAATTACAATATATATACATTATACAAAGTCGTAGGTATATAGTTTGATGTACATAAAAATACTAGAAAGTGGTTTGCCTGAACCATTCATGATCAAGTACATTCTTTGTACTAATTCTCTTATTTCTTAAACCATCTAAAAATTTCATTCCAATTTCCGAATTCACCAAATTAAGATTCATAAGCATCTTTCCAAATTGATATATAAATCAGATTTTACCGTATACTTATTATTTTTCGTGAGTGTTGAATCATCCCAATCCTTCAAACGCTCAGATACTTTTAATCCACTTGCATTACCATACTCAAAATCGGTAAGAATATACCTATAATCTCTGACACCAGGAAGAAAGAGAATGTTTGCAAGCCAAATGTCACGATGAACATAACTGTTTTTATGCAACCAAGTTAATCCGGTAACCACACTATATACCATAGCACGAACTTCATTTTCATTCCTCAATTGAAAGTCTCGGCCTCGTGTTTCAAACACGATCCGTTCAGTTCCTAATTTTGGGGCCTTCTCCTTCCTTTATTTGAATAAGTCCTGGATGACCTATTGCACAATCGTACATTCCCTGTAAAAAAGCAACCCGATCATCCACATCTCCTTCATATGGAAGATATTTCAGTGGGATCATTTTCTCTACCGAGTCATCAAAAAATGTAATCGTTGATTTTTCTAATTTCAACCGTTTTCCAATAGGAACGATTGTGCTGGAAATTGTATTACTCACAGTCCTTATTATGCGTGCAATATTGACGATTATAGAGAGAATAGAAATACGATCCCAACTGTTTTTGATGTCCAATAGATTTGAGAGCGAAACTAAATGATTTAGCGGGTTTGTGTTTGACAGTCCATTGATTGCATAAAAACGCAATTTTGATCCTGCTACAACGTAACATATCATAAATTGTATGTCTCCAAAATATAATGGGTCAAATTTATTAAATTTATCTGTAAGTTCACTCACAGCAACTGGAAAATCATCAATTTCAGCTTTCTCTTCGCCTTTAAATATAAGTACACCATTCGTCCAACATAAAAAATCTGGCCTTTTATTACTTATCGTTGTCATTCCCTGATCCTTACTGTTTCGATCTATTTCAATTGGAAGCACTCTTCCACCAAGATTCTCACGAAAAATCTGGAGCGGGATCCTTATTAAACTATCTATTGCCCAGTGCAACATATCCTCCGATGTACCATCTAGGATCTGCTTTTCAAATATGTCAGACGTAAGAATACAGGAAATGTGTTTTGCTAGACTGCTTTCGCATTCATCATCGCTTGTTTGTATATATTCAGCAAGCTGAGGATATTTACTCTCTTCATGGAAAGAGACGGGCAGTTTTCGAATAAGTGATGCATCGATAAGAGATATGAGACCATGCGCCTTATTTGGGATGGTATCAAATGATTGAATAAGTGCCTCACAGATCAAGGCGGTCTTATCAACTTGCATTACCTGTATTTCGACAAAATTCCGCTTTGATGCTACTAAGAAAGAAGACAAATTTGACACAGAGTTAGCAAATATAATGTTCACTAATTTACTAATTTTATTATTACTTTATGACTCACTTACCAGAAGCAACAGGTTCTATGATAATATGAATATTTTTTGGGTAGGTTTAATAATAAAGATAAAGAAGCAGGAAAGAAGTCAAAAATAAGTAAAATTCAGTATTAACACAGAAAAGACGAAAAAATAAGACATTCACCAACAGGAGGTACAACATTCTCTTTATTTCTTCTATTGGATTTCTGTAACATGAAAGCGATGTGTAAGTAAAGATCCTTAACATAAGGAAGGTACTAATGTTCCGAAAATCGAGCCAACATTAAGAAGTTTCATTGTGGCTCGAAATTAGGAGCACTAAAAGGTACATAGCCGATTCCTCCTTCAGAATCAGAATCAGTTGACCTTAATCAAAGAATCTCATAGTAAGACATAACCGCCACGGCACTAATTAATGACTGGACGCTCTTTCCCGTAGCGCATAGGGTACAGGACGTATTACACTTACTATGCTCGTTAATGTCTCTTCATAACCATAAGAACACTAACCTTTAGTTCTTTAAGTTGCCGTTTTAATATTCAGACTTTTTGTCCCTCCTTAGATCTTGGTTTAAGATTTTCGAACAAAACTTTTAAATCAGTCCCCAGGGTGCCGTATGCCCTCCGTTCCTCTTTTGTATCATTTGAATATTTCTTCAAGTACAAAATCACGTCCCATTGTGTATACGACTGTCTCCAATATTCCGTATTTACAAGTTTATTAAGGACTTTTTCCGTTAACATCTTTTAACACAGATTCTTTAAAAGACATGTTTATACACGACCTTCGCCTACGACACAAAGTTCATATAAACATTTAAATGTACTTTTCTTTTCTATTTTAGTTCTTATTGTTGCATACCTTCTTAGACAATACCCGTTATCTAAAATGTCAAAAGAGGAAGACAAACGTGTTTTGTTGCCTCACTATTTATGGAACTATGTACGCGTCTAGTTTAATCACCGAAAAAGTTATGCATGATCAATTTTTGCATAAGCCACCCACGTGATTCGAAAAAGGAATAACAATAATTCAGTTAATTCGAGTATGCGATTACCCGATGAAAAAAACTCCTTGATCATTTTTGACATGATCATTTTATAATTTGCTTAGATATTTGTAACTTCTGATGAAAATTCTTAGATAATTGTTATTGATAGAAAAAATATACTTCCATATTGTTCTTGTGCTAGAAACGGTCCTTTTTTGATTGACTTTTAGAATTAGCTTAAATCACTATCTCCCATTTTTTTTACAAAGGCGACTAAATCCCATATCACGTGATTTTCAAAAAACCACGCCCACTGGGTAGGTCATTAAGACAGGTATCTGTGCGAAACGTAAGTTACGTAACGTAACATATCGAATCGTTTACATAAAACTTTGTCCTTGACCGGTAAACCGGTTTCCTTTTTAGGATACCGGTCCACTATTTTTGGTTAATTATTTACTAATTATGTAATGCATTTCGTATTCACATCAATTAATCAGCGTTAAAAGTCAATTAAATTAATCACATTAGTTAATATTTGAATATAATATTTTTTTCGATTTATTACCAATAAATAAAATAAATATTTTTATTTTTGTTAGATTTGTTATAAATTATCTCTGTCGACTAACTTTATTAAATTCTCGAAATAATATTATTATTTAGTTATTATTTGTCCCTTTTTTTAATAAGATAATTGAGAAAAACTCTTGCTTCCAGAATAATCTATAAATAAATAACAATAAATATTGTGTCTTAAACAGAAGAAAATTTTACAATTTTCACTTTTACATAGCGTCAGAATATCAATTAACAAAAAGATTTATTGAAAATATCATATTGAGTATATTATTATAATACATGATAATTATTTTGAATTTCATTCATTTGTTTTTCCCTTGTAAGGTTTATTATATTATCATTAGATGTATCGTGACAATGAATGTAGGCAAAAAATATTTAGTTTCAAATTATGCAACGAAACAAAATTAAATTTAAAATATTATTCTAACCAAAAAATATTAATTTGTGCGGTCGATTCACTTGTATAGGAATATGGCTGATGTAACACATGAAAATATTATTATTATATAAGTATTGATATATTTATACCAATCTTTAGGATATGCCCAAAGAATATTCATAATAAATGAAGTTTGTGAGTAGTTTATCGTTAAATTTAAAATTTTGCATTGTTTACGTATTATGTGTTGAATATTTTTCTAAAATTTTTTATGCATTATCTCCTTTATATCCCCTTAATGTTACAAGTATGATATAAGTCATTTTAGAAGTTTGGTTTGCTGTTTTATATGACAAAGTCGTGCATAATACGATAGTGCATATGCCACATCGTGCTTTTATTTTGTAAATGGATGAATTTTGGAGAAACAACAGAAGAATGGGTAAAGTAACCAAACATACAAAACATAATAATTGAGAGAAATACATGCTTTGTTTAATGCTGTCTCAACTTCTCAATCCTATATATCAATGTTCTATAATGACTTTTAATAAAAAAGGGGGGACTATGTTTGCTATCATGAAGATTAAAATCCTCTTCAAACGATGTGACTATATTATATGTTTAACATAACTTATTTATATTTGTATATCTTCTCGATAATCAAATAAAAACAATTGATATTTCAAGTATTTCTTAAAAAAATATATATCGATACATAGCAGCGTATGTTCAATTTTGATATGTTGATAATATGAATGTTTCCCATATGCAATTTTAATTCCGACATTACATTCTAATACTCAAAAATGTAGTTATTGTATTCTGCGCAACGTCACAAAGTTACATTTTATAGCACGTGACTAAATTTGATACCATTTTTTTTACTAAATATTCTGGCATGAATTAAACATTTAAACTATAATGATAAATTTAGAAAGAATCACGTTTTTACCTTTTAACCAGTCTTGCCATTCAACATTTTACAATTCAAGGATTGCTATTGTCACAACATATGATATCTTTGGTTATAAACAAATAACGTTATACATTTTTTATTTATTAGATGATAGTCATATCAATTGAATAGACGAATTATATTGATTCGTTTTTAGCAAATTGCAATATGTTGTAATTATATACAAAACAAAATCCTATCTTATAAGAAACATTAATCTTTAGAAATTCTATACAATTTGAAATATTTCACATTCTTCTACAGAAAAATTTTTAATTTTTCTAATCGATTTTTCATATGAAGATTTACTAGTACTACAATTATCATCGTATCCCCATATAATAAGGTCATTATAACCGAATAATGGACCGTAATCAGAATCATTAAATATAGCATTACTTTCATACACTACACGACTTAAAATGTAATCATCATTGTTAAAAGAAAATATAAAACTATCTTTTGTAGTACCATATCTACCATACGAATTCCACTCAAGAGGATTATATCCTCCAAGAACTTCGTTACTGTTTTTCACTTTAACGATTGTTACTGTGCGAGGTTTATTATCACAAATTTCATGAAATTTCTTTCGTGTAAATCCATCACGAGATCCGCGAAATAATAATTTGAATTCATATGAAGAAGTTAATTCGTCAGTGATTTCTAATTTATCAATCCATTTTGAGATTAATTCAGCGTATTGAGGTGTAATGATTCGTGAATCAATAGTTCTACGTGGGTTTGGTTTCTTAATATTACGATCTGAAAGGCTTAAAAATGTTTTTAATAAATTTACATATAATTCTTCGGGTAAAATCTCTCTATAAGGAAATACTTTATCCATAAATTCTTTAGAAGTTAAATTGTAGAATTGAATAAATGGAATAAATTTTTGTAAGGCGCTCTTTAGAATATTGAAATCATCCTTTGAGTAGTTTATGACATTAGAAGGAAGTTCTGGATGTTGTGCATGTCCCCATTTAAGAACGTGTTCCCAAACTTGAATTTCACTCTTTTGAAAATCATCATTTTGTATTATTGAGATCAAAAGTTTTTCTGAAATTGAGGAGAAATTTAATGAGTTAAATATCTTATCTGGCTCTTTAGCTATCAAATCAGTACAATATTTTTGAAGTTCAGAGAAGGAATCATTTTCAAAACTTGTTTGATATATTAAATTAAAATTTTGTTCCATCCAACTTGCTTTATTTTCAATCAAAAAAAATTGTAAATAGGGAATTAATTCCTGAAGACTAAGTTCATTAGCGGCAATTAAGATTTGAATTATATCTGAATTATCATATTCATTTAAAGAAAGTTTTCCACTATAAATATATCTAAAAATAAATTTATATATATAAAAAAAAAAAATTTATTTAATAAAGTAACAATCATAATAATTATTATAAATTCTCTTCTTACCTTAAGACAATCTGAAAAATTTCAGGCGAAATATTCGGTAATTTAATATGTGACAAAATATCATCATTTTTCTTTTTATTATTTGTTGATAAAATTCTTCGTAAATAAGGAGAACGATAATGTAAAATAACCATATGAGCATGAAATATTTTTATATAAGGGTCGTTACCAACTTCAATAGTAATATCATAATATTCTTCATCATTTAGAATTTCAAGTAAATTGTGTGATAATTTTGGTAATAATTTATTTTTAATCATTATTAATTTATTTATTTTTTTTTTTTAAAAAAAAGGAGAATATGGTGAGAAAATGAACCTTAATTTGCTAATAGAGCGTCAATGGAACCTTATATGTATTCCGACTATTCCGTACAACGTGAACATTAATAGCACGTGACTAAATTTCGCATAAACGAAAATAATGATATTTTTTATCATGGTTTGTTACTACGTCTGACGATCCACAAGAGTTTTAACTTAGAAACCATTTTTTCTTCACTTTTTTCTGCTCTTTATTATACTTTAATATATTTTGCACTTTCAAAATTTTAGGAACATATTTTTATGCAACCCTGCGACGCTAACCTCTCCTAATACCATCAAAGCTCCCCACATCGAAAGATGTCGACCAATAGTGACAACATACCTACTAAAGCTGCCGTCAAAATTATATAATCCTGCCAAAACTTTTCCTCCCTCGCATTTCCGCTGCAGCATGGATCATGTGACAATTGTGACATGTACAACAAAAAGTATTATTTTACCTCTTAGTCTTATAAGTATCCACGCCAAAAACAGTATTTATCCATGTCTAAAAAATTAATTCGTGATCCGCCAGTGAACCATAAAATTTGACTATTAAAAGGCGGTGATAAGTTCATATATATTTTTATCAATAATTTAGAATCTGCGATTCTGGAGAAAAAATATGGGATAACTCGCCTTCTATTGGTCATAAAGACATAAAATCATTACCATTAGATGCGTCTCAATGAGACGAATCCGATAAACCAAATTTTATTTTCATACGACCACTAGATGATGAGTTATCTTTAAAATTTTAAAATACTAAATTTTTCTTTTTTTTCAAATTCAAATTTTCAGCTCTTATGAAAGTGTCTTTTGGTGCTTAAAATTTTTACCGGTCTTTTATTATTAAGATAGCCAAATGGCATATTTTTATGCCTATAATATTAGTTTTCATATAATATTTTAGTAATTTGTACCTTGCATTGGCGGAACTGTAGATTCCGTGCTATTAGTAAATATATATATAACTTTCACCGGAATTTAATAGCCAAGTTTTATGGTTCACTGGCGGATCACGAATTAAATATTAACTATATCATTAGTAAATTTCTCACACATCTTTTCCTAAGTAATAAGTTTCCGATTATTTCCGTCGTTTACACAGACTATTAATAGACAAATATCCGTCTAACGCCCCTAATAATAGAAAAACTAAAACCTTTGTCATTTTCACATGGGTTTTATTTCCATGTAGACACTGTCTAAACCCGCCAGCCCTTCCTCGACAAACAACAAATGATTTATTGATCGCTCGCGTATTTTCTTTTCACTGATCTTTAACCGAAAAATAAATTTGGAATTATTAATCGGAATTTACGTACCTTAATTATTGGAGAAATCGTGCCGCATAGAATAATATGCTTTTCACTTTTGTAAATCGTTCCTTTCAATATTTTAACGAAAAAATTCCTGTGTTATACACTGTATGTATCTTACCCTTGATTTTTTTCTTATTCCATCAAACCATCCATTATATAATAACAGTGATAATACGAACCCACTATGCTCTGCATGTTTGATTATTTCAATGATTCGATACTGAATTTATATATATGTATATATATTTCAAACATTCACATTAAACCGATCCGGAATGATTATTCGTACTATGATATAATAAAAAAAAAAATTATATCTAAATAACAAGTTGCGGTTTCATTTGATGAATCTAGGAGAAAAAGAAACCAATTATAAAAATAAGATAACAAGGTAAAAAAAAGCCACAACTTTCTACTTCTCGTCCAAATATCCCCAAGCAACAATATTCGAACACACGACCATAGCAGTCCAGAAAAGAATAACAGCGTAACGTTCACCATAACCTTTAACAAATTTAATGAATTTCATATAATAGAGAAGGCTAAGAAACCACAATTAAAAGAATTTGTACAGATCCCTAATCTATTTACGATGATTATATAAAGTCAATCAGTAGGTGTAAGTTTTTTTACAGTAAATGAAAATAAATTTATTTTTGAAATAAATTTTAAGATATTGGAAAGGTAGTAGAAATAAAATTATTTCTTGGGTCTGTTAATATATCAGTCATTGTATGATATGATGTAGAATATTTACAAGCAAATTGTTTAATATATATATATATATTTTTACCGGAAAAATTTTGTGAAAAAAGGGGAGATGAGATTTTAATTATAGGATTTGATATAAAAAAGACTCTGTTTTTGTTCGCCTTTTCATTCACTGAAAGTCAATCAAAAAAAAGTATAGTGGAATACTTTTGAAGCATGTTTTTTAATATTTCAAATATTTATTTGGTAAATAAATCGTTTAAACGTTCTCTTGATTAATATTAAAGTTTAGCCAATTTTACTAATTCATAAAAAAAATTTTCAATAATACGAACCAAGTTCATTTCCATATCCGGATTAATTTAATAGGTGTACTTCCTCTAAAAAAATTACTCTAATAATTGTAAGTCTTTTATACCTATATAATAATATATTTGTAGTTCGAAATTGTACCATTATTTTGCACAGAATACCCAAAAATTTTGATAAAGGCCCTAAAATGATTCAAAAAAAATGATTTTAACGTGATCTTAGACTAGAATCGAACTAGCCGAAGCACAGTCATGCTCTCCACCAGGATAAGATTTAAAAAAAAAACTTATCTGTTTTCTTAATCTTTTAAACACATAGGAGAAAGAAAAGAAACAGATTAAAAGAAGAGAAACACCTTAATAATATGGAAGAAACTAACTAGAGCTATGACTTCAAACACCAATCGGCAAACACAGAGGGATGCTATGGCTGACCAGCCGGGAGACAGAGGGCATATGCTATGGGTTTATCACGTTTCCAATAAACCAAGGTCGTCTACAATCACAATGTATATTATATTATACATATGGTCTAGTAAGTTCAACCATCTTCATTATACTGGTGACCAGATGTAAAACCTAGACATCACCAGAAATAATGGGCGTTTTTACTAATAAAACTGCAAAACAAACTCCTTTTGTACGAGAGAGATACCTCGTTACGCGTGACGACCAGATGTAAAACCTAGACATCGTCAGGAAATGGGCGTTTTTACTAATAAAACTGCAAAACAAACTCTTTTTGTACGAGAGAGATACCTCGTTACGCGTGACGACCAGATGTAAAACCTAGACATCGTCAGGAAATGGGCGTTTTTACTAATAAAACTGCAAAACAAACTCTTTTTATACGAGAGAGTACCTCGTTACGCGTGACGACCAGATGTAAAACCTAGACATCGTCAGGAAATGGGCGTTTTTACTAATAAAACTGCAAAACAAACTCTTTTTATACGAGAGAGATACCTCGTCAAGGTTAACAGTTTATTAAAAAAAAACTGCAGAACCATAGGAAATTTTTTTTTCAAAAATGGGGTTTATATAAATAAATAATTTGATATTTTGTAACTATGACTCAAATGTAGTGTTACGCGGTTTACTACATTTTGATCAATATTACATGATGGTTTTTGATGTAAATGAAAAATTTACATAATATAAATTTTTATAGTCATCTATAATCATTTCATATCGGCTGATTGGAAAAATCAAGCCAATTAATATTTAAGCTCAGTTGATGGGTTCATTATATAACTGATGGGTTACTTATTGTCATTTAGCATATAAAATTATGGGAGGCTTTTCTGATCAGCCGATATGTATTTGAAAATTCTTATTAATTACAAGTAACGAATATCTCAGAAAAAAAGTAACTAAGTAACTATTATAACCAATTATGACTCAAACATAGTGTTACGAATATCTTAGCTATCATGTAGTATGGTAATATGAGTCATTTAATGTTATACTAAAAAAATATATTTATGGTTAATAGAAATCTATATCTAGTATAGAAATATTAATCGAAATTCTCATACGTGTTGAATTAGTTTTTCTTTCATTTATGCTTTAAAACCAAATAAGTAAATTTCGGAAAAAATCTGATAAACATAATAATGTTGGAGACACAGTCAATATATAAGTTAAACAATTATGAAGAATCATTATAGACTGGTTCAGGTACTAACTTTACGAAAGTTAATGATCTATCTATTAAATTCATAATATTTTGTCATTGCACAGATAACATACTATTGTTCAAAATCCAATAACCAATCCAAACATGTGATCAAAATCAGAATTGATCACTGATCGCAAAAATAAACCAATTAACGCCTGATCAAGCTACACACCAATAATTATCAACCCAAATCCCGATTTAATAACAAAATACACCGAAAGTTTTTTATTATAATATATTTGAACCTTAACCCTTCTTTTTACTCCTTTAAAAAAAAGAAGAAAAAGAGAAAAAGTAGGCTACCTTTTTTAAAAAATAAACTATGATTTTAAGGGCTAGCTATTTAGCTGTTATTAATAGTATAAGATTGATTAAAATTGTATAATATTGTTGAGAATGATTAGGTACATATTATACCTTCATTAGTACGATAATCTTGAATGGGTCTGTTATGTACTGTACATTATAATTATCCTCATAAATAATTTTTGGCGTAAATCATGAATTAAGTCTTTTCAAGTGAAATTTGAGATTTTCCTGAGTCTCTTAGAAAATTCTTCTCGATGATCGCACTTGACGAATTGAATTTTATAAATAAATTTATTGTCCGGTTATAATACAAGAGTTAAGCAATTTCTATGTGTTCAAGAAGTCATAGAAGTCATTAAATATATTTCAAATGACTTTTATCGAAAGCCCATAATCTCAGAATCAAAATCCCGATAGTTAATAACTTGACGGTCAACCCGAAATTTTTTTTAAAAAACAATTAAAGCGCATAAAAATTTAAAAATGCTGTGACGCAGTAACGGGTCTTAATTTATAATTAAGCAACAATTTTGAACTTAATTCCGGTCAAAGTCCTCATAATTCTGGCTAAAATAGCCATCATAATGTGGACCAGAGTGTACAGTATATTAATATATTAGCTAATATTAGTTTCATAAGGAGCGATCTTTTTTAACCAATTATACATATAATACTAATTTAAACAATAAAAATGTTTAATTTTGTGTCATTGCCCTTAGTATTAACGCAAATTATTTGTAAATTGAAATTGTTTCAAATAAATCATAAACTGACCATATACAATGCACAAATTACATTTCCATTTCGTATTTGTCGTCTTATTTTTTCATAAATAATTTTCTTCAAACCATTGAACTACATACATCAAGACATTCTTGATTTTTAGGATATTAATTAAGAAATCAAACACAGTTCTGATGGTAAAATGCAAAGGTAAATAAATGTCATGGCAGGTGATTGAAACGTTCATAGGTTGTCTTCTAAATCAGAAATAATTGCATTGAAAATTAACCAATCTCAAATTTATCCAGTCGAATCTCAGTCAGGTTTTGACTGTCAAGAATTCATCAGGATTCTGGTTGTCAGGATTTTGGATTTGCATTTATCAGAATTTTGGTGTCGGGATTATAGACCGTTGATTGTCAGGATTTTTGGAGATCTCTTGTTTGGACTATCAAAAATGGGTTTACCACAATATGGTATGACGAAAAACTAGAAATCGGTTTTCCTAAAAATTAAGGAGTTTGTTTGTCTGGCATCCAAAAGTTTCGATCTCCTATAATCAATAACCTTATAATACACGTAATTCATTGATATTTAATTTTTTCGCATATTCTATGTTCAAAACAATGGTTTGATCTCAACCAAGAACGTGATCATCAAAATAATCGTGAAAAAAACACGAAAAGACCAGTGATATATGGGCGGTATAGTCCATAGCCAATAATCACGTATATTAGTTCATCATGTATCACGATTACAAGCAGAATCATGTAATTTATTCTACTGCATCAATAAATAATTCGGCTGAAAAGACTATACATTGTATCTAGAATATTTTTCGAGATGTATGATAAATAAAAAAAGTGAGAACTAAAGTCTCACTTGGATAAAATAAATCGCGTCCTATATGAAAGTTGTAATCGAATATGCAACCTGAACTTGATAAACATCAGTATCGCGAGAACAAGTAATTGAAGTAATTGCATGTCAAAGCTTTATGTATAACAAAAAGACCTCCCTGTTGATTCTTGTATATCGATGGTATAAAGTTTTTTTATTATAATTTTAAATGGATCTGTTGATCAAGATTTTTGTGATGCGATCATATTAACGCAATTTCCTCCAAAAGTGTATTCCAAGATCATCCTGGAATTATATAATAAGATGATGTCCCGGTTAGTGAATCCTTTTATCTGCCTTGTGCAGTAAAACAAAATCAAACGAAAAATTCAAACTGATCAAATTTACCATTATTTTAAATCATCGATATCAACAATCAAACAAACTCATATAATCCACAAAGTAATAATAAGGGTATGTTGGTTTGATTTCTCGACTTGATTCTGGATTCACGTCTTCACGATGCTAATAATTTTTCGAGTTCAAGGATGTATCACCATTCTTGCATTCGCCGAGAAAATCGTGATCATGATCGCCAGCATGTTGTATCATTGGCACAATGAAATACTACGCAATATACCAAATATATTTTCTGGCAATGGCATCCGAATTCTTGATGCTTGGCGTAGTATTGTTCTAGCGATAAAAAAATCGAAACAACTTTATTATAACGCACTAAGTAACAAATTTCTTGAATATGAAGCGGTGTGGAATATTGTTGATTATAGCGACAAGTGTGAATCGGAAGCCCTCACCTTGTTTTATTTTTTTTTTATCTCATTGCTAATCTTCCTATAGATTCGAAATCATTTCATCTCGGTGTTCTCTTGTGGGAAATGATCTACTACATAGCCTGTGTGAGTGAGAGCGATATAAATAGACGAAAATTCTGTAGATATAAGAGATGTAATTTAGTGTAGAGAAAGATTATGGGGAGAGAATCTTGTAATTAGTAATAGATGTAGAAACGAAATTATTCAGAAAGCAAAACAAAGAAATAACTTTGATGCTGGGACTTGCATTAAATGGCCTAGGACCGCGTACTCCCCCCTCTTTGATAGCAGCATAAATTTCAATTGCTACCTCTAGCTATGTATTAGAAAAATCAATGATAAATTTTGTTCATACTACAGTCAGACCTCCATAATTGCACACCCCTTGGGACCATATGCATAATTTTCAAAATAGTGCATTTAAAGAGGGTGTGCATTTATAAAGGTAAAATAATTAGAGATCATATAAGCTTGGGACCGAACCAGAGGGTGCATTTAGAGAGGGTATGAGTGCAATTATAGAGGTCTGACTGTAATATACACGTGACTAAAAATTCAAGCACCCTAATAATTAGGGAATGATCTTACCGGTCAGCAGACAGGGGACACAAAAGCCAATTTACATATATGATTCCGTGTAACCAAGTGGTTTGTACGATATAATAATTTTTGCTTACGCGTTTATTGATCTTGTCCCAAAATTTTTCTTTCTTTAACCATGTCTGATAAAAAAATCCACCGATACTTTTTAAGCCGAGAATCTTCGAAATGGGATATTGTTGATTTTTTGGAGGAGTCTAGCGAAGAGCCCTTCGAAAAAAAGATAGACGTATATATTAAATCACTTAATAACCTAGCCAATTATAAGCGAGGAAAACAACGCGAAAGAGCGCTTACGCTTATTGACAAGTACAAGGAGGCAAGTAAAGAACTTTTTTTTTATTTTAATAGGAACAAGTAGCGTGGCACGAAAACTTCTCGTTTCTTCGCCATTCAAGACTTTTTGTTGAGCTATAAAACTAAAGTCGGGGCACGGGCGACCTTTTCGGTTCTTTTGCCTGATGTTCAAGACTTCTTGTCGACCTGGCTTTGGTCCCATTAGGGCACGGGCGACCTTTTCGGTTCTTTTGCCTGATGTTCAAGACTTTTTGTTGACCTGATGGGATGAAATCAGAGATAATTGTTAAAGACTATTCAAGAATATTACTAATATTTCTCAGTCTTTCATTTTAGGGATTTCGACCTGACCGCCAAAGGGCACGAGAGTGGAAGAAAGAGTGTAAGCCGGCTAGAAGGATTAGTGGACCCTCATTCCATTTTCACAAACCAAAAATTGTGGATAGCTCTGTAATAGGGGTAAACAACGGAATTTACGAAAATAAAAAATCAAAGAAAAGAAAACATGAAAATCAGGAAGAGGTAATCCTTAAATTACGATCAATTATATAATGAGGACTTTTCTTAATTCTTTTTCTTCATTGTTCTAGAATGCCCGAAAGCGATCGTCCCCAGATGTCAATGATCAATCCATGCTCTATGACAAGGCGATAACAGAAATTAGCATTGCACAAGAAAATAATATTGCTTGTCAGACGATGTATGTATCAACTAGTTCTTTTGTATTTTTTGAATCCTTCACTAACACGTAATTATAGGCCGTTATGCTGGGGTATTATTGATCTTAGGGTAGAAAATGTCTCACCGTGCCCTAAACATCCTCGTGCAAAAGAACTTCTTCCCCCAGCCGAAGTTCTAAGACTTCAAAAAGTAACCACCGAGTTCGTAAATAAAGGATCGAAGTTGAGTTCATCTACCTTGGCACTATTGGAAGTACTTGAATCAAATACTTTCAGTTTAAAAAAATTATGTAAAGAAAAGCGGGCTCACGGAATCAAAGGCGTTTGTTCCTTACTCCGTATTAACACGGACAAGGTGGACATATATGACAAAGACGCGCAATATATTGGAGAGTGTTTAGACTCTTTGTAAGTTTTTTTAATCATAATCTTCGATTACTCCTGTCAATACTCTTTCTCATTTAACATTATCGTTATAGTAACGAATGGATACGTACGTACGGCGGATACTCCCATATAGAAAGGACTGTTGATATGCATCTCATTGGACCATTTTCAAAGGTGATTATAAAACATGTAATGTATGCTTGACGTTGTATGTATTGTATGCTTATGTATGCTTTTATTGTATCTATACATGTATGGATATTAAAAATGAACGTATGCTATGTATGGCATACTTATTTTCGCCATACATAAGATTANGAGGTGATTATAAAACATGTAGTGTATGCTTGACGTTGTATGTATTGTATGCTTATGTATGCTTTTATTGTATCCATACATGTATGGATATTAAAAATGAACGTATGCTATGTATGGCATACTTATTTTCGCCATACATAAGATTAGGATTTGCAAAAAAAAAAAAATTTTGAAGTATTATAAATAAAATTAATATTTTTTAATGTAATTCTAGTGATAACACAAACATTTAAAAAGATATGACAATATTCACTCATAAGGAATTAAATTTATTTATATAGATTATATAGATATGATAAAAAAGCCTAGTAATATTCAATATTAGATTAGTCAAGATTAAGTTCTTTGCGCAATTTAAGATTTTCCAATTCTAGTTTTTCGATCTCTGCTTGGGCTTTACGATCTGCTGTACGTCTTTCTGCCAATTTCATCTTACGTTCTTCTATTTCTAATTTTGAAATTTCTCGTTCACTATCACTTTCATTAATATCAATTCTACTTCTTTTGGCTTTTGAGGTATTTTCACTTGTGGACGCCTTTCTTTTTCCCTTTTTTTCCAGCTTCTCTCTATTAGTTACATCCTGTAATGGTACTTTTTCTAATATAATTAAAAGAAATTAAATGATTAATTAATAAATAAACAAGAATATTATATTGATAAGCTTACTTTTTAATTCCTTATTAGAAGTCTCCTTTTGACTTCTTTTATTAGTATCTATTGAATTAATATTAATTTTTAGAATAAATGGTTAAATTATATTTATTATTATTATTTACCTTTTCGTGTCATAGCTTTTGCCTTCCGTTTAATCTCACTTTTATCCCTTCTAGTATATGGAATCCCAAATTTGTCATTAATTTCAGCTGTCTTAAAGAGTCTTTCATCAAGCCGTCTGCCTCTAAAAAGAATTTAAAAATTAAAAAAATATGCTAGTTGAAATATATTATAATAATTAACACTAACCTCATAATTGCTGTAATAAGTTTCAATTGCTTTCCCTCACGGTTGGCTTGAGCATGCGCTGCTTTAGCTACATTAGTATTATTTCCATGGTGATCCCAAATTTCATTTTCCATATTTGAGATGTGCTTATTTAAAGATGCCAAAACATAGGGTTGACGATAATATTGAGTCCAATCTATTATATGAGTATTTAATATTATTAAATTATGAAACTAAAAAAATTAAATTTTTATGAATTATATTAATATTATTTACCCATTATACGTTGATTATTATATGATTCTAATTTTTTAAAACATCCATAAACTTCTTCAGCACTAGATTTAGTTGGAATGGATTTTGCTAATAGATATACTTCATTATCAAATTTTTTAGCTATCAAATTACTAAAAATAAAATGTATTAATATGTTAAATTTTTATATATCAAAGTTTATAATTTAAAAATTTTTTACCGATTAAAATGGACCAAGCATGATTTAAAAATGTATGTTAGATGTTCTTCCCAGTTTTTGCTAGGTTCTCTTTTTGCTAAAGCCAATCCTAATCCTTTTGCTTGACCTGCGTCAAGGTCTCCAAGAATGCATTCCCAACCTGTACCATCAATGTGATAAAATTTTACTGGTATTTCACTTAAATTTTCAACCACCTCAAAAAGTTGAGTGAATAGGCGTTGGTATGCATCAGCTGTAAATATATTGGTATAAATACGACAATAGGATAAAACTAAAAAAGTATAAAGTTAATTTTTTGTAATAGAAAGATAAGTAACGAATTTATAATTAAAATATTTACTTAATTTGTGAGTTTCATCATATGAATTGATTTCAAATTTGTTAATATCCCCATGCACTCTCTTGAATGTTAAATCAATTTGAAAACACTTTAAATTTTGCAATGCTTTTGCTTGGAAATCAAGCATGCATAAAATTAAAGTTTGGCCATCTTTAAATTGCTCTATAAAAAATAATTAATAATAAATTATAATTATACAGTATGTAAAAAATTCCAGTAAAGTACAACATATACTAATACTTACCTATCCCTTAAACTGTAGGGGTTAAAATTAATTTTAAAAATTTTTGAATTTTTAAAATATCTTAAGATCTAGTGATCATAGAAAGATGAAATTATATTTGTTAGATTCCTCTTATTAAGGCGCATTTAATGGTAATAAAATCATAACTCTAAAATTGATAGATAAAATGTTATATTAATTTATAAATTTTTAGATTTTATAAGTTATCCTGTCACATAATATTTGTAGAAGGACAATTTTTATTTCTATTAGATTCTTCTTATTGAGACGCATCAAATGGTGGTAATTTTATATTTCTAGGGTTAATAGATAAAAAGATATTTCAATTTAAAAAATTTAGCTACTATTTGTTATAATTTGTCGATCATTTACTTTTGAAAAATCATTATCCAAATTGAACTTTTTTTTCGATTTTTACTTAGAAAATACTATAGAAAACTAGCCAGTATTTTTTTTGTTTCAGTACCCACCACAGAATACGGGACAAATTCGAGCGTATTAATTAATAGCATCACGGGATCAATGATCAGGGATCAGAGCATATTATTTATATTTGAATTTTAATATTAAAATAATTAAAGTTCGTAAATTTTAGAAATGTAAGGATGCATTTGTTTATACGAGATTATCATAAATGTTGTAAATCATCATTAGAATAATGAAGAAAAAATAAATTGTTTCATTTGATGTATTGTTTTAATTTTATAAAAAAAAATACAATAAATTAAAAATTAATGTGAAAAATTTTATATATTTAATAAAGGAAAATAAGTTTTATGCAATCTCCGATACCTTTTTTGTTTATTATTGACTTTTTTATGCTTAGGAATTATATGGTTAAAAAAATATATATATATATTTTTAAAAAAAAATAAGAAAATAAATTTTATTATTTAAGTTTCACTAGAGGTTTCGTTTTTGGTCATGGTTGGAAGGGGGTTTTCTTGTAATGCAGATGCTAGTGATTGGCTTCGAGTCTTCCTGGTGGGAGATAGTTGTGAAAGTGTAACACGACCTCTTTTTGAATGTGGTGTAGATCCTCTTGGTGTACGAGGTGTGTTTCTTGAACTTGTTGACTCTTGGTTCAACCATGGTAGATTAATGGATTGAGCAGACATATTAGGTCAGTTGCTAAAAATTAGTGATATATCATCTAATTTCAAGATATGTTTCCCAAGTATAGACTCTTCAGTTGTGCTGGTATCTATGATGGATTCTTGATAATAGAGTAGGCCTGATAAAATTGCCATCGTAGATCTCATGGTTTGATTGATAGAATTAGTTTTATTGGCCAAATAATTAATATTTGAATTATGTCTCATCTCTAACCAAAAATCCTTTGGTTCTCTATTTCCAAGATTTTCTTCCACGTGAAAGTCAAGAACAGATTCGTCACCTACATTTTTAACAGTTTGAGTGGTCAA